AATTTTATAATGTTATATTGGATTTGTTGTATGAAAGACAAAATAATGTAATCATTGGTAAAAACAATCCGTTTTTGTACAAATAAAATGCATCTCCACATGGGCATCTGGCAAAAAATTGCTGATGTAATTTTGGATATTGGTTAAGCATTTCTAAGTAATACATTTAATTAAGTTAAAAGGGTTAGGATTGTATGATAATGGTCCATTCCATGGTCTAACAGCATGACTGGCTGCCTATCACTCGATGATAAGAATTTCGCATCACAATTGAAATGTTGAATCTTGAGAAAAGAGTAATATCAAGTTGTAACTGATAACATCCAAAAACAAGCCAAACCTGAGCATAAATGTGATTTGGTTGGGTTTTAAAATGATTTCATTTATTGTGAAGATTGTTGAAAAAACTCTTTGTAGAATGATTCCTGTAATATAAGCAGATTCATTGCTAGCTTAGACTCATACATTTTATCCAACATACAAAAACACACTGGAAATACAGAGATTATAGAGTCCTGGCCAATACAAGGTACCGTGGAAAAGGCAATCCGAGGGGTGAAACAAACTGGTTTACAACCTGTTTCAATAGACGTTTTTTAAAGAAAGCTGGTGTTGACAATAATCATTTTAAGATTGCCTTGGTGGACAGGTTTGAGTCCTGTGCCGGCACATTGGTTTCTCTTTTTGTGTGTACAGATTTACTACAGACTACAGAGGTTAATCAACAATGCCTCTTTGCTCTCCCTTTCATCTCTCCAGATGAGACCAGAGCTCTGTTCAGAGCTCCGGTCCCATCTGGAGGGAATATTGGCAGAGTGTTTGTTCCTTGATTGGCTTTGGGGGAGCAATCCATACAGATGTGTCTGTTTTGCCCGTGTGGATCAGATTTCTTGAAGGGGCGAGACAGACTGAAGCCATCAGGTCTATCTCAAAATGGCCTTTGGGTCCATGGAATGGTTTTGAGTGTTCAGTCATTGATCCTCAACAAGGAATTAACCCTTGATGAAACAGCTGGGGCTATCTATCAATGGTTTGATGAACTGTTTAATTTGTATCAACAGATGTATTAATCTCAAGAGCGATAGATGCTGGGAGAGATTAAATCATATACTATGTTAACATTTGGCCAAATAAATAAAAAGATAAATACTTTGAGTTTGAATATAACACAACTGTAGAGTGTTTTTTAAAAACAATGAATTAAGAAATTTAAGTGAAATACACTTTTTTGTATTTGTAACATAAGGTACAAAATGTATTTTAATAAGAGGAGCTTTTCACAGTGATTTCAAAGATGTATGAAAAGCCAACGACCCCAACTTAGTTTTGCAAGGTCCTTCACTATTCCATATCATCTCACCAAACCACACTATTGTCAGTCACCACTTCCAATGTTTGAAGGATGGCTTTGAAGACTGTACTACTGTGTTTTGAAACAAAAAGAGGGGATATTTGAGACCACCAACCAACAAAAAAAGAAGTCCGTGCCACTTGAGGTAGGGAATAAATCGACAGGTAGAACCCTGAACTCCACTGTAAAAGTACTAATCTCCACCAAAGAAAAACAGGCCGTGAATAAAAATACTCTATCAGCGAGAAGTGGAAATTATCATGGCCAGGTCCAATATGTTAATGGCATTGTGGATTTTTAATGGTTTCAATTAGCCCCAAATGCGCTGGAATCATAATGTACACAGAAACGTGTCAGGTGCTAGGGGACTGTGACTATTCTAGGAGGATCTGCAGCATCCCAAAGCCCTTTCCTGGTGCCGCCTTTGCTGCACGAAGCAAAAATGATGCCTTATTTCAAATGTTACTTAATCATAATTTCCAAAATGATCACAATGATGTTGTTTAAAGGGTCACAATCCTAATTTTGACAAATGCAATTAATATATTTATAGTTCTTATTTACATGATTTGTGTCGGAGGGTCCTTGAGGTTATTTCATAAGAAGGCCTCATTATTCACTCACTGTTTTGACCTACAATATTTCCCTGTGAACTCTGGGAAGGTAATAACTCAAAGGATTCAGGTTTGTGGTATAAGGTCATAGAAAGAGGAGCTAGCTAGGGTACAATTTATCCTGACAGACATTTAATCCGTCATAGTTATTGCTCAGGGTATGGCATGACAGTTCATGTTCTTTCATCATCTCCTCTGTTGACCTTCATGATTTGGTCATCTTTCTCTTCTTCGGGGCATGTAATATTATTATATTGTTCTGATGTTTATTCAATTGGAGATCATTAAGTTCAGACTTTTGGACAAAGATGCATAGGCCTCAGCTAAGTCTCTGGCAGTGTCACAGAGACTTTCACAGAGTTTTCATACACACAGATACCTGTAAAGGTTATGCTGTCAGTTTTGGAGAGGACAATGTACCAATATCTAAAGAACAGTACTGCAACTCTCTTCATATTCCATATTTCAAACTGAGTTCCATGGTACTGCACATTTTGTTTTGTAGATACCTGCTCGGTATCTGTCCTAGATCTATACGACTTCAGATGTGGAATACATTCTTGCCAAATTAATTTTAAGACAATTTTTTCCAAATGGCTGTTCACTTTATCTACAATTATGGACACCTAATGTCAGGTTTTACCTTAATCAATGAGAATAATTTAGCTTTTCTTGTAGAAAGCAGTTAGTGCTTGTAATTTGCACAATATTAAATATTTGAATCTCTGCAATTTGCCATTGGTCTTATAAAACTCTTACATTATCTTTACACCTACCTTAGCCAAATGTGTCATATTGTAATGTGGGACAGATGTGTATTATTCACTGAAGGGGATAACTACTTCTGTATTTGGTAGAAAAAGATAACTTGGGTTAGATAGCTTTGGGTGGCACAACTCTTACCTTTCTTGACTGCAGTCCATAGTGAAAATTCCTCTTTTTAAAACTGTTCTGTAACTGTTTTCTAAATATTGGGCTACAATGGGGCACTTTTTCCAGTTAGCCATAGGGAATCCCCCCTGGCTAAAGATATTTAGAGTTATAAGGTCACATGGTCTGTAAAATGTGGACTGTATCCTCCCACATTCAGAGATGAAATAAAACTATGTCTTGGAGCAGACTAACATTACTTTGAGCATGTATTATCTTCTAATAAGCCCTTCAAAATGTGTAGATGGTTTCTGTTTCTGTTAAATGTGTTTTTGCATAGAGTGGTCTCTTCTGTCTGAAGTGTATGCCTTCTCTGTGACGGATTCCCTGCTGAACATTCATTTTGTTCCACATTGTGCACAGAGGTTTTCCTGAGAAAAATATTCTCAAAGCCATATAAAAAGGAAATGCGATTGGGAACCTTTTTTCTTGGTTGTGGCGTGACACTAATTTACTTCCCCACACACTTCCAAGGCAATTAGCTTTGAAGCTTCTCAGAAACTATTCTTGCCTAAGTCGATAGCTACCATGGCAAATAGGAATTTAAGCAGGGTCCATTGGGCAAGAGCTGATAAATATATCAAATGAGGTTACAGCTAGAAAGAAAACCTAAAAGAACAAAGAAAATAGAATTACTTCACCAGTTAAGCAGGGTGCCTGGCCCTTTATTACTGGCCAGTTGTAGCATGCAAATGTATGCTAATTGCTTGTGAGTTGATGAGAACAATGTGCATTTTCATCTAAACATCTTTGGAAAGATAAATAATATATCATTAGTTACACTTTTTTATTGAAGGTGTAGTTTTGGCAACTTCTGCCATCAAAAATCCCCAAAATGGAATGAAAACAAGTTTTGTCCGTGAGATATAAACAAGTATTTGGTAAAAATCATGCAATGCACCACATTCTATAGATGTGAAAATCAATAGGCAGGCAATTCTCAAATCCCAATTTACTTAACAAGACCATGACGATAGTAAATTAGTTAACGTTGGAGTGATTTCACACAATTAGGGATGTGTGATGTTTTTTCGTCTAGGTGGTCCAATTCTTGCCAAATAAATAATGACATTTGGCCATTCATTTGTTGGGTGTGTTTTGAGTTGTGTTTGGACAATGTGGATATGGCAACATTGCTTTATTCTTTCGTGATTAGTTTATTGTAAGACGCTGTTAACTTTAAACACACCCTAAAGCCCTCCTGAGCCCTACACACTCGATCGCCTGGCTGAACCAGTTCAAGTAACCACTTTGTGGCATATGGAACCCCTTGCAGACATACACTGCTTTAACGCTCTCCTTTCATGAAGCAGGAGGTACGCAGAATAAAACTTGTGTTTTGAGTGGGGAGGAAAGACTGCTTTCCTGCAACAGGCCAAGATCTCTGAGAGAAAATCTGTCACCTCCCAGTGGACATAATCTAGATGCTGTCATCGTGATCTTCTGCAAGAGAAGTCAGTGTTTCGGCAGAGATGAGCGTGTGTGATCTCAGCGTCATCGGTTTCAAGCTCAGGTTGCTTGAGTAGCAGCAAAGCACCACATGGAAGTGTTGGGGGGTGATCCCACCACTGCTGCCGTTGACTCTTGGTCAGTGAAAATGAGCAAGGAGTGGGGACATCCACGCTTACTTGAAGAGAGTAAGAGAGTAGCAAACACCAGTAAAAGCTACCGTACATACTTAGGGTCCACGTGTATGCACGTTGTCAGAGGGCGACCCTTCTCCAGTTAGGTGTGGTTTCTGACTGAGTGCTGCGTGAGTTGATTAAGTTCTGAAAACAAAAGTAATCTGTTCATTAAGATCTGTCTTTTGATGACTAAACTGTGGCAACAGCCTCCCAGAAGTTTCATCATTCTAGATTTTATTTTGGGAGGGACAATAATTCTGTGTATCGGATGGATTCAATGAATGTTGACTAATGATAACACACTGGCTGTTACAAGGGGAAGAAAGTAACTCACATTGTGCTTTCCGCTAAAAATTAATTATTGACTTACTTTACAACAATGATTTGTACCGAAATCTTAAACTTTGGTTGGCTAGCATCTACACAAAACAGACACACAACTCCAGAGGTGAACTTCCCCACAAACAAATTAAACATACACATAGTTAAAACATTTATTGCAGTAGCTGTATACCTGTAGAGTATTAACAAGGATTAACTGTTTCAGTATCTGTGATGTCAAACACCCTCACAACTGACAAACATATTGCGATAAGCAAATCACTCCATCCCACTTAACTTCTTTATATTGTGACATAAATATGAAAGTGCTTTACAAACTGAATGTCTCCTTAATGCACAAATAAACCGTATTACAACAAAACAAAAAGACTGAATTTTTAAATCTATATTGTTTAGCATGCTATTGCATTGTTTAATTTGCCTTCCATGCTGTGGAATAAAACCAACTTGACAGATGATATTTCATAATTGACCCATCATCTGCATACCATTCTATTTTTCTAAGGTATCAAAAACTTCATTATGTACTTTTATATCTGTGTGATGTGTAATTTGGCAAACCTCCTATGCATAAGGCATTTGATCATCAAGTCTTTGTAGACAACATGTTTTTTATTTTGAATAAGTAGAAACATTATGGAGGCACAGTGATTCAATTGTTATCTTTAACTGTCTTTTCTTAAGTATGGAAAAGAAATAGTCTGTGTGTAAATAATATATATACATATACCAATAGATTGCAGGTACTACTGAGGGATTGAAGTCAGATAAATCACAATTTGAATAAAATCTATACAATAATAATATCAACATTAGATAAAACATTTAGCCATTTACAAATATATTGCTATTTAATTGTACTGAACACTTTCAAAATCAGTTTATAGAGAAGAACTTTCAAGCTTTTCATTTTTATAATGCACATATTGAGCACAATACAAAATGTTCTTTTTTTAAGTCTTTGCCAGTGGTTTTGCAGCAATTGACAAAGCTCTTTATGAAATATGGGCAACATTGAGTATATTAGGGAATGGAAAAATGTTTCAAATCAACCATCAGGTTTAAAATAATTAGGTCAATGTTTACTTGTTGTACATTATGCAAAATGACATACCTTTGTTTCCAGTTGAAATCCCAAATCCTAATTACAAGCCATTATGGTGACAGCCAAGAACTGTCCTATTCACTGTGGTTATTACATGTATATGAGAGTGGTTAATAAGTCTTATTTACAACTCACAGACAATGACAGAATAAACAAGTGTCCACTAACAGTGTTATTAAAACCCTATCCGAAATGCAATTCCATTTTCTTTGATTGTGTTGATTAATATAGTCCTGAAAGACTCAATAACAACCACACCACAAATATGTGTATATACTGGTCAGCCATGGTAGTTTTTTTTTTTTTTAAATTTTTTTTCTCCATTTAACGCATGTCCGTCCTCCTCTTGTCCAGACCGCACATGGAGTAGACAGAAAATTTAAAATTGAAGAAATCCATAGAGGTTTAAAAAAAGACGCGTCTTCAAGAGCCATTCTAATGTTGAATTGTAATGAACAAAACATACGCATTATAGTTCTGTTGCCTACATGTGGCCATCACACTGCAGAAGCATCAACTGAAGTGGGAAGAGATGAAAGGAGAAAGAGAAAAATAACAAAAAAGTAGAGGAGCTCAGGTGGATATCACACAGCACAGAAGCAAAGTCCATCTTATAGCTGCTGGTCCTTTGGGCTGTCTGGGCAGGAGGCAGGCTGGCAGGACTTCAGACTCACCAGCGGAATATCAGCCATGCCACTGCTTGTGAAGTGTCCCTCTCCGCTCCCAAACTGCTTCCTGTCTACAAAATGCTCGGACCGCCCACTCTCATTTTTCCAGGTTCTGGTTAGGGTATGTCCGTTGAGAAGTTTTTCCTTGGGACCCCACTCCCTCTGAGATCCAAAGCTGGACACGGGTGACTTGGGCTGCTGATATGTTCCCAATGTAGGGGGCATCCAGCAGTTGTCTGAATGTCCCAGGACGAGGCATTCCTGTGTGCACATCTCTGTAGCTTCCACTAAGCCACGAGGTCCCAGCGGGCCATCTAAAGGAGAAAAAAATTGATGAAATATATTTAGATCATCTTTACCTGGATCATTATCACATTGTTACAGTCCTTTATATATCCAAACATATTACAACTAAAACTAAATTCCACTCATAGGTGTTAATTATGCAGAAGAAATATACTGAGCATTATTAACGTCATGTACATTCTAGTTATTGAGTTAAAAAAAAAAAGGTTAACGGGGATTGATCTTGCCATGCTGGTGATGTAATCATGTGGGGAATTTTATTAGGTCACTTATTTCCAATTGACCATTGTTTAAATTTACGATCATCTATGGACACAAATCTATTCCTTTTGTAATGGCCAATTCTATCAGGTTAACCATGTCATAAAGCACATGAAGCGTGTTCCACCAACATAACAAAAAGTGTACTGCAATGGTCTCAATCCATTTGGATTTGTTGGAAAAGAAGATGTGCACATGAAGGTTGAGCTGAAGAAACTGTCAGCATAGCATGCTGCTTTCATGTCATTATGCCCCAGGCTCTAAAGGGAACGTTTCCAGCACCACACGCAGGACTCACTACCCGAACCTTTACATGCTCAGCATCAACACAGCCATCTCCCTACAACTTTTCTTTGGTACAGACATAATGCACTTTAAACAATAGAAGACCCTTGCTGGTGAACATCATTGAAGCAGCAATAATGTTTCGATTAAAACACATTGGTACCAAATGAATGGAATAAAAATATAATTTCTTGGAGATGAAAGGAAAGAACCCACATTTAACTTACATATTGCACTGTAAAAAACGTTGTGTTATCTCTCGATCGGGCAACTTTTAAAACCCATTTTAGGGGCATATTTTCAAAAAGATAAAAAAAAACTTGAAACTGCATCGGCTGGTTTCCTGTGCTCATTTAGAGTGAAGGATTCAGTGGACCAACCTGTAGTTTGAAAAATAAATGAGCTTGCTTTCCGGGACTGGAGAGCATGGGAGGGCTATAAATCTTGGGAGGATGAAAGGATGAATGAGTTCTCTTTGAGCACTGTCATTTGAATCCTAAGAAACATTTACATCGCCTGCATAATATATTATAAATATACTGATGTGCAGCTTAATGTACTGTACTACTCTGTAATGATGTCTGACATTCACTCAGTACTTAAGCTTCCCCAGAATGGCTTTTCTCATGTCCTTTCCCTCTTCTATCTGTTCATCTCAAACATTTCAATATATGAAGAGATTGTTTGACACTGTAAGTGAATACAGTGCATAACACATTCAGTGAAAGCTTTGCAGTATCACTACACACTATTTTGGGAATTACCAACTAAAAAAAACCCATTGAAGTCACAATTACATCACAATAAATGATCAGCAGGACATTGCTCTCTAATTATTTGCTACAATCTGACTTATTGTGTAACGAACATTCATCACATGAAAAAATAAATGTGTTTTCAGGCTCTATCGTTCGTATCGTAAAATTGTGTCTGATAGAAAAGCATGCATATGCATGAATATAATGGCCTTTGCAATTTTAACAATTCTTATTCATTGTCGGATTTATTCTCCTTTTTTAAGAAAGAAACCTACGTTTGTAAATCAAGCATCAAAGGGTAATGAATTCATAGGTTTTTGTTTTAGTTTTAGTTTTGTTTTAACTTTTGTGAGTTTTTTTTTTTTTTTACTTCTGCCTGTATTTTTCTTTCTCCTTTGTTTAAATTCAATTAGACAATTCAGGGTTAAAAGTTAAGTTCTTACTGGAGCAGGATATCCCAGACATCCTAGATGTATGATGTAGACATCCTACATCCTACTTTATCTATTTAGCTATAAAAACTAATATCAACATAATGAAATAAAGTATATAACGAATATGCAAACTCTACAAAAAGGCCACTAATTGGGTTTCAAACCAAGGACCTGACAGGCCATTTAGATATACAATTTGAATGGCGCTTGTCACTCTTCTTCATAAATGTGTAGTTCAATCATAGAGAGCAGTAATACATAGACAGTAAAGTGAATTCCTCAAATGAGCTTGTTGAGGAGTAATCAGACACCCGAAGACCTGCTGAGGGCAATAGCTGAGGGAGAGAAAGGCCTCTGCACATGAGCAGAGGAGCATATTACAGTGTTGCTATTTTTCTGACTTTTTGCTGTCTTGATTGTGATTAGAATTAAGTCTATATTATGGGTGTGTCCCCAAAGTTATTTCTTTCAACTTTGTAATCAGTGTTCTAAAAAAAACGTGTATAAAAACTGAGAAACAAAAATCCTGACTGACTTATTAATCACAATACATCTGTTTGTGATATTAAACATCTGTGTATTGATAGCAGCAAAATTATATGACTGCAATGTCCATATTTATATTTATTTGTTTGTAAAAAAAGCAGAGACTACCATTTATCGAGGGGCACTTTGTGGTTTGCTATTCCCCGTGTGCAACAAGCATTGGAGATTTGCATGTAGATTGGTACAATCAGTGGGCAGCAGAGGATCATTTGAATCAGTCATTTTCTCTTCTAATTCCTGCATGCATGTTGTTTAAGGCACAACCTGATTGAAAGACCACTTAAGACATAGAGCTGTATGGCTTAGAAAATAATATAATACAGTATTATATACAGAAATATAGACCAGTGTTTTCCTACCAGGGATACTTGTACCCTAGGGGGTGCCTCTGCATTTGTATCTAAGATATTACAAATAAGCACCCACATATTTGTCTTCAAGAGGAAAATAAGCAGCCAAATAGCATTACTAGCATTACAACAGTCTCCTTTCAAACATAAATATATCTCTGTTAAATTGTGCAAAACCTTACAACCACAAGTGCATCAAAACAGTTGAGGATTTAAAACAGTGAAGTGAGGATGGGTAAATATAACTTCAATATGCCTTTTGTCAACACATGTGGAATCAGTTGAAATCCCAATTTTTCCCAACCTATTTGTTAGCAAATAAAATATATTTAGGGGGTATTCAAAATGATACATTGTGCCTGTGCAGACAAAAACACAAGTCTACTACTATTTTTTGAAATTTCTCACTGGATCGAAATACAGTTACGCTTCATAAATCTCTCCGGGCTGAGGAGGAATCCTTTACCAACAAAAGCAAAAGCAAAAATATAGTGCTTGGTATCTCACTCTCGAGAAACCGTAACACTTTTTACTCAAGTCTAAGCAGTCCAAATATTTCTAACAAAGACAAAACGCCACACTGCACTTTGTTGGTGCCTCGATGTCTCTTTACTGGCTCCCTGTTGATGCATACAGAATGTGGGGGGGGACACCTACAACAGTCAGCAGGAATATGTTGGTCATATAAGTCAAACCACACTGTAAGAAACTTCTCCCATCAGCCCTCCTCGCTTTTGACCAGACGTTCTCACATTGCAAACGTAAATTAGATGAGATTTTATGTTTAATACATTAACCCTCGTTCGTAACCCTCCTAATCTCCTGCCTATTTGGCCATTGTCTTCAATTTGTGTAAATTTTGTAGATGGTCATTTACTTAATTATTTTGCGGTACGGCCTACTATTGTCAAGTGCTTCCACGTTCACACAATAAACACACACACACACACACACACACACACACACACATTGAGACTAATCTTGTATAAAAATATGCTTGTTTAGATTCTTCCCTCCCTCTCTGTAATCAGTGACATCTAACGACTACATTCTTTATACTATATACATTTGGTTTTGATGGCTATACATGTTGAGAAAGTAATCAATCAGTCTCTGCTGAAAACTGTGCCAGCTGGAAAAGGCCAGATGGTGTCAAGTGACGTCCTGCTACTCCTGCTGAAAAGTTGAAGAGCCGTGGACAGATGATAAGCACCAGCACACCATGACACTGCAACTGCAAATAACAGGCAACTGGGTATTTACTCCGTTGTAAATAGCCAGTGGTTGACAATTATTATAGCCAAGTCAGCAGGTCTACTGTACATGAGCTTTTATGTAAGTTTGATGTGAATTTTAAATTATAAGATTTCAGCAAAGAGGCCCTTGTTTCAGATGAACGCTGTTGAAAGATGCACATAATATACTGTTTTAAACACCGCCAAAGGATTACTGCAAAGATGGTTTTCTTTCCCTGTGATCACTGGAGAGACGTGTATGCTCTATTTGCATTCTGTCAGATGGACGGACAAACGGACATTAGGACAAGTTTTCATTTAAATCATTTTAGTGATGGTGCAACTCAGAACCTCATTTGTGTTCATTTCCAGTGACAAATAATCAACATACCTCCATTTAACTGCATTATCATGAATAATGAGCTAAAGCCACAGCTTTTCTCCATTACACGACTGTAATTGTTGCATCAGGTTCCCTTCATTCGCACAAAATGGCTTTCACATTGTTTAGTACTTTGTCTGTCAAAAGCTCGTTGCTCATGGTTACTGTGCTCAAGAAGTCAAGTTCTCCCTGCTTACACAGACACACACACGCACATACACACACCACGTACACAAGCAAATAGCCAGTGGCTGATGTTTGGTGCAGAAGCCCTGAGTGCTTTAAATAACATTGAGGCACAGGTGGTGAGGAATGAAAGGGATTCAAAACCACGTCAGATGGTGCTTACTTTTGCTTACAGCTCTGTGCAAATGCTGCAGATGTCCACAAAGACAGATGACTTACAGACAAAGAAAGCATTAGATTGCCTCCTGATAAGGAGTCATTAGGATGTGCCCGGGGCTGGTCTGTTTAATTCTGCAGAAGCTGTTGGATAAATGTGATCCACAATGTTTAACGATGGACACTTTGACCAAACAGTATTCACGTGTCTCTGTTTCAGTCCTCCTACTCAGCATCGACAGATCACAGAGGTTACCGAGGAGGAGAGAATCACCCTCATTTTTAGCCAGAGGTTGTTTGCAACTATAAGGGAGTATTCTTGTTTTAGTCTGCTGGCTATTGCTAATGAGATAACGTTTTGCTAATTAATTGGATGCACACTGACGTTACTGTTGTACTGACGTGCCAGTCCAAC